TTAGTTATTACTTGAATGTGAAAGATGTAAGATGCACAAAAGATATTTGTATATGTACAGAATATTTCAGAACATTTTTAAGAGAGACATTATTTACCATTTTAATAAAGTAAGAAAATTGCCCAAACTATGAACTTCTAACTTTAATGAAACTTTCTTTGTATGTAAAATTGTCCTTTCTTCTTGATCATTTGAATTTTTTTAATCCTTTGTCTGCCAAAGAAATATGTACATGCTTTCAGAAAAACAGTTCATTTCCATATAAACTTCTTCTAAAATGAACAACAAAAGATGTACAACAAAAAGAGTTCAAAAGAGGGTCATTTTCTATGATTTCTTTATTAATTTTTTTCTTTTCGAAATGAATTTTTCTTTTCTGTAATAAATACAATATTATAATAATACAAAATATAATATAAAAGAAAGAACAAATTTAATTTCCAAAATGAATTTTATTTCTTCTTAATAATGTCAAGAAAAATTAACATCTCTATAATCTTTATAAAAGTCACTTTGGATGCATTGTTTCATTAATTTTGAAAGGATTAATAAAGAAATCTAATAAAGAAGAGAACCTGAAAACTCTGATTTTAATGAAACTTTGTGAGTATATATAGAGCATAAGTATATGAAGAATAATTTTCTTTTCATTCGAAAGGGGTAAGTCTAATCTCTGAATTCAAAATCTCTGTTTTGCATTCTTTCTTGAATATAATTTTGTCACGGTACGAAATAGATTAAAACTTTAAATATACCAATTATTTATTATAATTACCATTATTTATACACTGCAAAAAAGTTCTCTTAAGTTTTTTAATATAATATTTATATAGATGGTCAAGATTGTGATAAATTATGATAGCTAAGTATTCATACTCCAACTTATTTTTTTATTACAAAATTACTAAAAAATATATCGATATTGATTAAAAAAAAAATATTTTCACGAAAAAAATTTCTATAATTTAAACAAATATATATATCATTTTATACTTAAATTTCATAAAATTATAAAATCAATTTGAAAAAAAAAAATAGTGAAATAATAAAAAAATATTAGAAGAATTTTTCGAATTCATTTTCATGATTAATATATTAAAAATTACAAAAACAAAAAAATAATAATTTAAAAAAATATTGCATTGCAACATTAATTTTTAATATATTAATATTATAAATAAAATAAAATAAGAAAATATAGAGATATGAAATATTATGAAATATATAATTTTAAAAAAGAAATATAATATATTAATAATTTTTCAATATTCTCCATTATTTGTCAAATAAATTAAATTTTATTTTTTTTTTTTTCTATTTGAACCTTTGTTATTTAATCTTATCACGATTATCATGAATCTTTATTATTTAATCGTCATTCCAATAGTTTGAAAGCACAAGAAAATTGAGATAGAGAATACTGTTGCAGAATCAAAGCTAACCTTTCGTTTGTGATCATTCTTGCTTGATGAAGAGCAATCGGAATGTTTGCACGACGTTTGCTTCCATTTGCTTTTGACTAAGAACCATGTCTCGTGGTCTGTACTTCTAATTCAAGGAAAGTTGCAGAACAATGTCTTGGTTTTGGATTAAAGACTAAAGTGGTTGAACTTCAATGATCAAATAAATTTCTGTTTAGCAAACGTTTCTTTCAAATGATATTTTTGCAGAAAAATATTTTGTAAAATATATCATAATGTATAAAAAATACATGATATTACATTAAATAAATACATTTACTCTTATTACAAATATTTTTAAATTATATTTTTACTATTTTAATTATTTTAATTTTATGAAAAATTTAAAGCAAAATTTAGTCGTATGATTTTTTTCTTATTTGTTGAAATAAGAATGTATAAAATTTAAATATAAAAATTCAAAAAACAAAAATAAATTTCACGTGAAAATTATTCATTAAAGTACAATGTATCTTGTAATTTTTTTATTTATTAAATTAGATAAAATAAAAATTCGAAAAATAGAAAAAATTAAAAATCATGAAATCATAAAATTTACATCGAACAACGTACAACTATTTAACTTATATTGATTTTCGATTTAAATTCGGATGAGAAATTAATTTATTACAAAACTTCATCAAACATATATTAAAAAACACAAAATTCCATTTAAAAAATTAAAATTAACTTTCATAAGTTCTTGACTCGTAAAAAAAAAATAAAAAAAATCCCTCGAAACTTTCATTCAAATATTTCTACCTACGAATAATAATAATAATAAAAAAATAATAAACATTTCAGTGAAACATTCTATATATAAATTTCTTTCTATTTATGTTCACCGAATTTAGAATTTACAAGAAAAAAATGCGAAATACAATTGCACTAAAGTATCAAGATTCCTCAAAACACAAACTCGAAAATTCCACTTGAACGAAATCTGTTCCTCGGACACGCGACACTCTTATCGATCATCCTCTCGCCACTAAAGAGTAACAAATCATAAGTTCTCTCGCGGTTGACGATCTAGTGAACTATATTTCGCTTTCATACACTCCCGTAGCAATAAGAACGATCGCAAGAGAGTGAGAGCGTGGCTCCACGACTTATAAATCACGTCGACAATCGGGGTTAGGGCAAGCGGCAACCCTTAGAAACCTGTTCCAACCCAAGTTAGGTCTGGTCGGCCATTGTTCCGCTCCATTTCGAACTTTCCTGACCCGGTATATATAAAAGGGTCGCGTCTAATCGCACGTATCACGCATGTTAATTAACAGACCAGGCCCTTTATACCATCGCGAACAACGGCCACAGATAATCGTAAATTGCTTTCAATTTAACACGCGACTGAGAACAATCATTTGTCCCGTGATGGAACTATTCATTCTCTTCTCGTCACCATCAAATATATAAATTTTTTTCTTTTTTTTTTATTGAGATGAATTGTGAGGTTGAAAGCGATTTAATTTGTTAATTTAAATTGTTAATACAGAGAGTTGACGAGAATAATTAATACAAAAGGATTGAATATTGGTTATTTTTACAATGTTTTTCGATCGAATGCGCAATTATTAGACTGCAGTTTTTTATATTTACGAGAAATTTGAATATATAAAAATCTGAAGAACACGTATAATATAATATGTAAAATATTTAAAATAAATAAATAATCGTTATGATATTTAGAGGATAAATCTTTATTTAGATTCCATTAATTGTGCGAAAATATGAATTTGTATACACATTTTTGCAATCTAATCATGAAACATCAATGTGTCATAAGAATATTTCTGGTAAAAAAATATATTAAAATTTTATTTACATATTTAATATACATTAATATTTATAAATAATTTTGAGAAATGCAATTTATGAATGATGCAGCAATCAAAAATCAATATTATATTTAAAATATTGAATTATATTTTATGCTTTGTTCGAAGAAAAAAGGTGCTTTGTTTTTTTCAAAATTCAAATTAACATTGCAAATTTTCAAGAAACATGGAATTGGCTATTGTCGATCGTAATTATTTCTGACATTATTTAAATATTTGTCATCTTCAATATAATGTTACATTTTATAAAATATAATTATCTATTTACGCGACTAAATTTTCCAATATATTTAAAATATACAATATATTAAATTATATTTTACAAATACTTGAAGTATACAATTTATATTTAAAATAATTTTTTTTCTTTTTAAGATAAATAATAAATTATA